GCCTGGTCTGTGCACAATTCGGCACGGTACCATTTTTTTAATTTTTTTCTTTACTTTATCTTTATCTTATTTATTATGCACTCCCACGTTTTGTCACTTTTTACTTTACTTATGTGTGTGTGTTTTTCACGGATGGAGGGTGTGGGTCCTCGGGCCTACCCTGAAGTCTAGGGGGAGGATGTGTGGCCATACGGTTCCTTCCTCCCCTGATCCCTAGGAGGCTCTTCTTCGGGAGAGCCTCCTTGCCTAGTACTGGATGTCCGGCTTCGGCTGGGCATAGGGAACGGTGGTCCACCAGGCCTTTTGGCCAGGAGGACCAATTGGGAACCTTGTCCCCGTCAGGAGCTTCGTGCCCCGGGGGATCAGGGTAAGCGGTCCAAGCCCCTTTAGGGGTAGGACACAGCACACCCCTAAGTGCACTTTTTCGTGTGGTGTTTTGCACTTGCACTTTTTTTGTGAACACTTACGGGTTTTTTCGTTATAGTTGCACGTTTGCGGACTTAAAAAAAAAAAAAAAAAAAATCTGTTCTTATCAGTGTCCAGTGGGGGTGCTCCCGACCATTCTAGCTTTGCGGGGATGGTTGTTGTATAGTACCCTCACTGGAATGATGGGGGGTCCGGAAGGCTAGTACCGGAGGGACAGAAACCGGGGAGCGCCACGAGTTAAGCTGGGGCCCCGGGAGTAATTCCTCTGGGAAGACTGGAAAGACCCAGTACCTCCTGATTTGGACGGATCTACCTTGGTCTGGCCAGGGGCTGGGGACGCAAAAAGTCCGCAAACTCAGTGCCCCCTTGGGAAGACGCTCTCAGGGGTGTCACTAGTAACACTTGGGTGTGGGACCCCACGGTGTGAAGATGACACATGGCCACTGTTTTTCACCTCTTTTTGCACAGCGCCCTAAGGACCAGGCCTTTTGGCTAAGTTCAGGGCAACTTTTGCTACGGGCCTCAGGGCCTGGTCTGTGCACAATTCGGCACGGTACCACTTTTTTATTTTTTTCTTTCTCTTATTTATTATGCACTTACCCACGTTTGTCACTTTTTTCTTTGCCTTATGTGTGTGTTTTTTCACGGATGGAGGGTGTGGGTCCTCGGGCCTACCCTGAAGTCTAGGGGGAGGATGTGTGGCCATACGGTTCCTTCCTCCCCTGATCCCTAGGAGGCTCTTCTTCGGGAGAGCCTCCTTGCCTAGTACTGGATGTCCGGCTTCGGCTGGGCATAGGGAACGGTGGTCCACCAGGCCTTTTGGCCAGGAGGACCAATTGGGAACCTTGTCCCCGTCAGGAGCTTCGTGCCCGGGGGATCAGGGTAAGCGGTCCAAGCCCCTTTAGGGGTAGGACACAGCACACCCCTAAGTGCACTTTTTCGTGTGGTGTTTTGCACTTGCACTTTTTTTGTGAACACTTACGGGTTTTTTCGTTATAGTTGCACGTTTGCGGACTTAAGAAAAAAAAAAAAAAAAAAAAAAAAATGGATGTAGAAAAACAGGAGAAGGTAGACCAGGGGAGACCACTGTGTTACTCACATGTGAGCCGGCATTCATATATCGTTTTCAATTAGGGAATTGTCGGTTGACATCGCAACTTTTAATTATTTTTTTATAACTGATATAGGGGCATCCTGGTTTTTTACTATTTTTCTACATGACCATGGATGTGTCTGATTAGACCGGATGAGTAATCAATATATGACTGTCATTGAGTCTCTGCTGTCTTCAGGGAGGATATGGTAATTTGTCCTATTAGGTGTCTGTCATGGAGTCACAGCTGCTCTTGTCATTTGATGAGGATGACCTTACAACAGCCATATTACCCGCACGTGACCTGTATTGATTGTCTTCTCGTACAGAAGTTAATTGATTGCCAATATTTACTAACATGCTATGGCTTTCCACTGTACTTGACGTTGGGAATCACCATAATTGACACCGACTATTACTGAGCACATTCCCTGGTGGCTCCGCTTCATGGACCATCTTATTAGATGACGGGAAGCATTCATTGGACTACAGACGCTGGTAACTGATGTTTCATTGTTCACCGGGGACAATTTAAAAAGAAACAAAACTTTTAAATGGATAAATATACTTTTAAAGGATCAGGCTACCCAAAAATATTACCCTCAGTGTTTGTGAGGTGGTAGAACTTCAGCATCCAGCAGTTTCTTCTGTAATGGTTAGTAAGAGATGCCAATCTCCCAATCAGCCTTGTGAGCAAGAGTGAAAAGTGGCCTCCTTACCCCTTTGACGCGTTTCGCCCCGCCCACCGAGGCTTAGTCATAGACTCTATGACTTATGCAGGCCATAGACGGGTCGTTTATCGGCCAAATTTTCGTCCGAAGGAAAAATCGGCCGATATTCACACCGTTGGTGGGGCAATGCCGTCAGCCATTTTTCGCAGATCTTCTCGTTTCTTTTTATTGATCATGCTGGAAAAATCCACAAAAACAGCCGTTTTTCGTAAGCATTGGTGGCAGCATCCGTGGCAGCAACTACCGATTTTTTCGTTTATCGGCCAGCAATTCGGCCGATAATCGGCCCGTCTATGGCCAGCCTAAGGCTTGGAAGGTGGGGAGAAACGCATCTTGCTCACAAGGCTGATTGGGAAAGCAATGTTTCTTCCTAAGTATCTGGAGTGGCATGTGAACTGTCAGGAATGGACTCAGCACTGGTGGTGGGACTCACCTGCTGTGTGGGCTGCAGTACCAGGGTTGACCAGCGGGTGCTCTCAGCAGCCAGAAGCTCACTCCTGCAGTCAGCCAACACCTAAAACGGATTGCAGGAAGTGTATTTAAGGAATGACCAGGCCTGTGATCTGGGCCTTGGTGTATGTTTCCCATGAGCCCCTGTACCTGGTATCCTGTGTTCCTGCCTCGTTGCTGACCCTGCTTTGATCCTGACCTCTGCTGACCGTCTCCTGTTGAACCCCTGGCTTGCTTGACCATCCTTCTGCCTGATCCTCGGTACCGCGCTGCCCGCTACCTGCTGAACCTGGCTTGTGACCCCGACCATTCTCTGCTTGCTCCTCCTGTACCACGCTGCCCGCACGATACCGACCCGGCCTGTCTGACTACGCTTACTTCACCCGACGATCCATCCATCATGCACAGATCACCTTTAGTAAGTCTGCCTGCCTCTTCCATCAGACTCCGTTCCTGCACTCCCCTGCCAGTACTCTCTACCACAGCCGGACGCACTCAGGGGTCGCGACCTGGTCCCAGTCTGCACCAAGTCCATTCCCACCATCAGGGGCCCTGGTGAATAGCAGGCTGGGACTTATACCCCGCGCCCTGAGGAAATCCATGCTGTGGGCTGCTAGAGACACCACCAGGCGGCACCTGACAATACCTTACGGCCTGCCTGACCATTCCACCTCTCCAGCCTGACTACGCCTGTGTTCCTGAAGCCTGCTACTTCCCTGTGTCAGTCCACACATTTCTGGTCATACCCGGATCCCTAACATGAACACTCTGACACCCTGTCTATCGGTGGGTCAGGGGAAGCAAACGCCCATCAGCTTGAGTGGTGCCATAATTTGTGTTTACTAGTTTGCAGTTTCTTCCTTCACTTGGTGAGATCTTGGCCTTGGTGAGTTCCCAGGTCTGAACACCTGCTGTGTCTATCATGAGGGGTTCCCACTCTGTCCACTGGAGTTTTAAGTTCTATTATGGGAAAAAGTAGGAGGAGGAGCTGCAACACACACAGGTAGGTGGGAACTTCCAAAATCCCAGGTGGACAAGAACCAAACATTTTGACTTAATTGTACAGTAGAGGACATAGGATGTGTAGTCATCAACCATGGCTGGTCACGCCCTCCCAGTGTACCTCTCATATAACTCCACCCACTGCACGGGGCTCCAGTCTTTTGCTAGTGTCCTTAGGTGATGGACCTTTTTTTGCTCTGCAGAAGTTTCAACACCAATTCTTTTGATTTTTCTTCACTACTTCAACTGACATTCCTATCAAGATCCAATTTTGGGCTAGACTGGGGAAGGATTTTATTTTACTGCTATCTGGGTTCCATCAGAGACATTTAGCCTCACTGCCTGTCATGGTAACAACAGTTTTACCTGACCGAAAGTGAGGGAAAATCTTCAATAGCAACACAGATAGAAAAAAAAATTGGAAGAGAAGGCTATAAACCTTGTCAGACTTTTATTTCTGTGTTGCCATTGCAGATTTTCCCTCATTTCCTGTCTAGTGAATCTGGTGTCACTGTGACAATAAGGGCTAATTTACCAGTGGTGTACATAAGCAGTTAATTGTGCATGTGTACTGCAATGAGTTGTTAAACTTTTATTTAATTCTTTTCGTGGCAATGCAATGGCATGTGTTACAGAATGTTGGAATGCACAAAAATAAACTATATCCTATATGCTTAGTGCACACCAATGCACGTAAGACAAATTTCTTTGTTCACACATGGGCACGGCACTGAGCAACACTGCTCAACGGGACTGGTGTGAATGGGCCCTTAATGAAGACAACTAATGCTTCGGAAGGCAGTGAAAACCCGAGAGGGATCCTGATCATTTACCACTTTATTCAAAACTAACACTTTTCAGGGTGTATCTATGAAAGATTTGCATAGCTGTTCATCCATCAAAACTGTATGTAAATTTGTTGTGTACAAATGGGGTAAAAATTGAATGTTCTCAGGCTAAATTCTCTGCAGATCGAATGTGTGAATGGGGGAAATACTATGTTATGGCCAGTAGATGGCGATAACTATCATAGAAATGAGCTCCTCACCTCCACCTAGTGGCCATAATGCAGTATTTCCCTCACACATTGGATCTGCAGAGAATATAGAGAATGTTCAACCTTTCCCCATTAGTGCAGAACAAATGTACAAACAGCTAGGCAAATCTTGTCTAAATACACCCCTGCACCTGTATAGAAAAATAATCTGGAACAGCAAGAAAGTAAAAATGTCAGAAATAAATAGTTGCAGGCCTGCTTTTTTCTTGTATGCCTCTGACGATGTTTTTTCTTCTTACAGGTTAAGGCATCAGGCCCGGAAAGAACTGTATGCCTATAAACAGGTAAGACTTTTTTCTTTCTTTTTTTTTTTTTTTGTCGCTCCCCTGCATGCCCTTGTACCCATGTGCTGCAGGGCCCCTGACGCCATGTGCAGACCAGGTGCCAATTATATGGTGAAGAAATACTAAGAACTGTAATAATAAAAGTACATCTTTTCCTTTTTCAGGTCATATTAAAAGAAAAAGTAAAAGAGCTGAATTTGTATGAGGTGGGTGAGAAAATGTATCCTCGTTATCTCTGATGTCGGCCTAATTTGTTTATCAAAATGTCTGACCTTTAACACTTGTTCTGGAATTCCTATAAACTACTACGCGGGGGCTCCATTTACTTGTCATGTGACTTTGGACACATAGGGGTTTATTTACTAAAGCTGGTTGAGTCCAAAATCTTGGACTCCCTTGTGCATAGAAACGAATCAGCTTCTAACCTCAGCTTGTTCAGTTAAGCTTCAGCAATGAAACCTGGAAGCTGATTGGTTTCTATGCAGAAGGGAGTCTGATTTTGGACTCTCCAGCTTTAGTAAATAAACCCCATAGAGTCGCATGACAAGTCGCAGACCATGTATTTCAATGGAAGCCGTTCAAATCTATCGCAGAGACTTTAAAAAGGTTCCTGCACTACTTTGATGCAACTTGAGTGCCATGGACTGCAATGTAAACTCTTAAAAACCACATGAAAGCTGCATCTTATTGTTATCAATGTGACAGTTGTACAACAGTCAAAATTCAACAGCCAAAGTCGCACTCAACAAAGTTGCATCAAAGTCGCAATGGAAATTGCACACATTTGAAGTTGCACAAGTATGAATGCAATCTGCGTCAATTAAAATGGAACCTTAACCTGAATCTGCAATCTGGAATTGTTGTAGTGAGATTATTTGATTTTCTTTTTTTTATTATTTACTTGTATTGTTTGTTGAGTGTGAGATTTATTTGATTTTTTTATTATTTACTTGTATTCTTTGTTGTAGTGAGATTATTTGATTTTTTTTTTCATTATTTACTTGTTTTCTTTTTGTTGTACGGAGATTTATTTTTTGAGTTTTTTTTTTTATTATTTACTTGTATTCTTTATTGTAGTGAGATTATTTGATTTTTTTTTTTCATTATTTACTTGTTTTCTTGTTGTACGGAGATTATTTGATTTTTTTATATTATTTACTTGTATTGTTTGTTGTAGTGAGATTATTTGATTTTTTTTTTTTATTATTTATTTGAATTCTTCGTTGTGAGATTTGTTTTTTTTATTATTTACTTGTATTCTTTATTGTAGTGAGATTAATTTTTTTTTTATTATTTACTTGTATTCTTTGTTGTACTGAGATTATTTGATTTTTTTTATTATTTACTTGTATTCTTTGTTGTAGTGAGATTATTTGATTTTTTTTTATTATTTACTTGTATTCTTTGTTGTAGTGAGATTATTTGATTTTTTTTTTTATTATTTACTTGTATTCTTTCCCTGTCAGAGCTCAGAAATGCCAGGCTGTAAAACTGTCCTTTTTAACAATAGTGATCTCATTGTTGATAACAGATGTATAGAACCTGTCATGAAACAAACGTTCTGATGTGAAAGATGTCTGAAGGCTTTGTTCATTGATAATTTTACCCACATTGAGTGTCAGTCATCAGCCCTTAGCTTTGACAGGAGACAGGTTTTCCTCCATGGGGGGCCTTACAACTTCACACTTCCAGGGAGAGAGAATACAAGTAAATAACAGCCCAAGCAGCTGTCCATGAGAGTCCACATAGTATGAAGGTCACTATACTGTATCTGCATACTTGCCATTTGCTTTTGTAACCCCTTAAAGTGTTACTAAACCCACAACAGTACAATTAGTCTGTATATGCAGTAAAGCATGATTGTTATACTCACTGTGGAACCTAAGGGGTTAATCCTCTGTATTGTGTAAAAAGGTAATTTGATCCTGACCTGTCTGTCTGATCCTCCTCTTGTTGCAATGACCACCTGATACAGACTGAAACCGTGGTCACATGCTCAGTTTGGTGTGTATTGCTAGAGAGGTTTTTATTTTCCTTGGGAGGATGCATGTGATCAGCACTGTCCAGACAGAGGTCAGGGGTCCTGCATCCTCCTAGAGCACAAAGAAAAACTCCTCCTACAAGCTTTAACCAGTGCTCTGCTGTAGTCACAAGACTGCTCTAACTGCTGATGAGAAAAAGTATTTAGCAGTTAATATTTACTAAAGTAATTGCATTTCCATGTTCTGTGTACTGTTGGAGACCAGATATAGGGAATGCAGGGTCCGGGGAGACCGGATATAGGGAATGCGGGGTTCGGGGAGACCGGATATAGGGAATGCGGGGTCCGGGGAGACCGGGAGGGAATGCGGGGTCCGGATATAGGGAATGCGGGGTCCGGGGAGACCGGATATAGGGAATGCGGGGTCTGGGGAGACCGGATATAGGGAATGCGGGGTCTGGGGAGACCGGATATAGGGAATGCGGGGGGGTCCGGGGAGACCGGATATAGGGAATGCGGGGTCCGGGGAGACCGGATATAGGGAATGCGGGGGTCCGGGGAGACCGGATATAGGGAATGCGGGGTCCGGGGAGACCGGATATAGGGAATGCGGGGTCCGGGGAGACCGGATATAGGGAATGCGGGGTCCGGGGAGACCGGATATAGGGAATGCGGGGTCCGGGGAGACCGGATATAGGGAAATGCGGGGTCCGGGGAGACCGGATATAGGGAATGCGGGGTCCGGGGAGACCGGATATAGGGAATGCGGGGTCCGGGGAGACCGGATATAGGGAATGCGGGGTCCGGGGAGACCGGATATAGTGAATGCGGGGTCCGGGGAGAGCGGATATAGTGAATGCGGGGTCCGGGGAGAGCGGGATATAGGGAATGCGGGGTCCGGGGGAGACCGGATATAGGGAATGCGGGGTCCGGGGAGACCGGATATAGGGAATGCGGGGTCCGGGGAGACCGGATATAGGGAATGCGGGGTCCGGGGAGACCGGATATAGGGAGTGCGGGGTCCGGGGAGACCGGATATAGTGAGTGCGGGGTCCGGGGAGACCGGATATAGTGAGTGCGGGGTCCGGGGAGACCGGATATAGTGAGTGCGGGGTCCGGGGAGACCGGATATAGTGAGTGCGGGGTCCGCGGAGACCGGATATAGTGAGTGCGGGGTCCGGGGAGACCGGATATAGTGAGTGCGGGGTCCGGGGAGACCGGAAATAGTGAATGCGGGGTACGGGGGGAGACCGGATATAGGGAATGCGGGGTCCGGGGAGACCGGATATAGGGAATGCGGGGTCCGGGGAGACCGGATTATAGTGAGTGCGGGGTCCGCGGAGACCGGATATAGTGAGTGCGGGGTCCGGGGAGACCGGATATAGTGAGTGCGGGGTCCGGGGAGACCGGATATAGTGAGTGCGGGGTCCGGGGAGACCGGATTAGTGAGTGCGGGGTACGGGGGGAGACCGGATATAGGGAATGCGGGGTCCGGGGAGACCGGATATAGGGAATGCGGGGTCCGGGGAGACCGGATATAGTGAATGCGGGGGTCCGCGGAGACCGGATATAGTGAGTGCGGGGTCCGGGGAGACCGGATATAGTGAGTGCGGGGTCCGGGGAGACCGGATATAGTGAGTGCGGGGTCCGGGGAGACCGGATATAGTGAATGCGGGGTACGGGGAGACCGGATATAGTGAATGCGGGGTACGGGGAGACCGGATATAGTGAATGCGGGGTACGGGGAGACCGGATATAGTGAATGCGGGGTACGGGGAGACCGGATATAGTGAATGCGGGGTACGGGGAGACCGGATATAGTGAATGCGGGGTCCGGGGAGACCGGATATAGTGAATGCGGGGTCCGGGGAGACCGGATATAGTGAGTGCGGGGTCCGGGGAGACCGGATATAGTGAGTGCGGGGTCCGCGGAGACCGGATATAGTGAGTGCGGGGTCCGGGGAGACCGGATATAGTGAGTGCGGGGTCCGGGGAGACCGGATATAGTGAGTGCGGGGTCCGGGGAGACCGGATATAGTGAGTGCGGGGTCCGGGGAGACCGGATATAGTGAATGCGGGGTACGGGGAGACCGGATATAGTGAATGCGGGGTCCGGGGGAGAGCGGATATAGGGAATGCGGGGTCCGCGGAGAGCGGATATAGGGACTGCGGGGTCCGCGGAGAGCGGATATAGGGACTGCGGGGTCCGCGGAGAGCGGATATAGGGACTGCGGGGTCCGCGGAGAGCGGATATAGGGACTGCGGGGTCCGCGGAGAGCGGATATAGGGACTGCTGGGGGTCCGCGGAGAGCGGATATAGGGACTGCGGGGGTCCGCGGAGAGCGGATATAGGGACTGCGGGGTCCGCGGAGAGCGGATATAGGGACTGCGGGGGTCCGCGGAGAGCGGATATAGGGACTGCGGGGTCCGCGGAGAGCGGATATAGGGACTGCGGGGTCCGCGGAGAGCGGATATAGGGAATGCGGGGTCCGCGGAGAGCGGATATAGGGACTGCGGGGTCCGCGGAGAGCGGATATAGGGACTGCGGGGTCCGCGGGAGAGCGGATATAGTGAATGCGGGGTCCGGGGAGAGCGGATATAGTGAATGCGGGGTCCGGGGAGAGCGGATATAGGGAATGCGGGGTCCGGGGAGACCGGATATAGGGCTGCGGGGTCCGCGGAGAGCGGATATAGGGACTGCGGGGTCCGCGGAGAGCGGATATAGGGACTGCGGGGTCCCGGGGAGAGCGGATATAGGGACTGCGGGGGTCCGCGGAGAGCGGATATAGGGACTGCGGGGTCCGCGGAGAGCGGATATAGGGACTGCGGGGTCCGCGGAGAGCGGATATAGGGACTGCGGGGTCCGGGGAGAGCGGATATAGGGAATGCGGGGTCCGGGGAGAGCGGATATAGTGAATGCAGGGTCCGGGGAGAGCGGATATAGGAAATGCGGGGTCCGGGGAGAGCGGATATAGGGAATGCGGGGTCCGGGGGGGAGAGCGGATATAGGGAATGCGGGGTCCGGGGGAGACCGGATATAGGGAATGCGGGGTCCGCGGAGAGCGGATATAGGGAATGCTGGGTCCCGGTTTAGTATCTCTTTAACACTGGCAGTATGAGTATATGCAGCAGCAAGCCTGTGGGCTTTAACACCTACCTGTATACAGCGCACTGGGACCGCACTCACTCAGGGTCTCCAGCACAGTGTTACTAAACACTCCAATC